ACAAAGTTATTATGTTTTAAGAAAAATCTATAAAACATTACCTAAAAATGAAATTAAACTAAGAAAAAAAATATTTTGCGCATTCTTACTTCCGCACTTAGCATGGCTTTTCTCCACATGATTTTATTATACTGATAAACAGAAACAAAGAATAGAACATGTGTATAGAATAAGTCTTAAACTAGTGTACAGTTTATGGGATTATGAAGACGTGACAGCTCTATGTTTGAGTAGAGAACTAACATTAAGAGATTATGTTTATAAATATTGGATCCGTTTCCAAAAACATTTGAACGAATCACCAGAAGCAAATTCGTATAGACACACATGGACAGCATTCCTAATAACAACAGATCCTTCGAAAGAATATTATAAAAGCATGGGACTGAAGAAAAACAGTAAATTCGCAAATAGACTCTATAAACGAGCAAACCATACATATCTCGAATATCTTTCATTTATGAATGCACACAAAGGATTATTTTGTCATTTCAGAAATGCTTCATGCCTTCTTGAATACTTTATTCTAAAATACTTTCCTATTTATACATCATAAACTTATGTCGTGAAAGAAAACTGTGCATTTATCATTTGTTAACCCTTATGGGAACAATAGAATAAATATTAAAAAAAAAAAGAATGCAAAGTACATGCAACGTTCAATAATGTTTTTTTCACAAAAATGTCCTTGCCATTGACATAAACATAAATATTGATTAGTATTCATTAAGTAACATGTTCCATGGTTGTGACAAAGATTTGTTGAACAAAATAATGAAAGAACATTTGATGAAGAACGTAAGATTTTTGCCAGACGAAAAGCAGGTAGAAAATTGAATGAACTTATTTGATATACCCATGCCGCTAGAAAAATCATCGAATGATAAACTTCAAAACGTACTGGATATAATCCGTGAGGTCTTGGTCTGGAATAGAGTAAATAAAGCTTATATTTCACTCTATTATCTTGATTAATACCGAAGATGAGTTGATGATCGATAATTTCACTATGATTATAAATAAGGGTCACCAAAACAGTTAAGACAACTGGGATATCAACACGATGTCGTCGATCGAATCAGACACGTACAGTTACTCGTTGACTATTGTATTGGTAACGATTACCATAATAACTCGGTGGACAAAAACAGAGAGATTTTGTTTTGTTGTTTCTAGTTAAATAAAAACCACGATTACAATAACCATAAAAAGAAAATGTGACTCCTTCTTTTGTTTCGGAGACTGCCGAGAACATATTAACAACATGATCTGTTTCTCGAGTAGAGGAATGTTGATAGCAAGATCTTTCATAGTTTGATGCATGATGATATTTAGTCGCACGATAAATAATGTCTTTGTTGAATGAAATGGGACACTAAAACCAACGAGATGTGTCTGAACATCCGTATGCTGAATTACATCGACTAGGCTTACACGCTCTTCTATCTGCACATCCAACGTATCCTGAGGAACACCAACTTCGATTTCAGTGGCAAATAAGTTCATTTGTTCGGTCAAGGCAATGATCAATTCCATCACATATTACCGTAAAATGTAAACATTTTGTTTGATTGTCATACGAGAAACGATCTTCTAATATCAAATGATCTGAACAAGAAAAGACATTACGTTCATCGTGGCCACCTAAACAATCAATATGCCCATCACCAGCTTTAATATACGGAATACATGGACGTCTGGATATTGGATCTTCAAGATAATATTGAGTAATACAAAAATGTTCACTTGTTCTATTACATATTTCTTCAAAGTTCCATCTTCTTGATACCTCAGGACAATTTAATTCGTCTTCTCCATCATCACAATCAAATTCTCCATCACAGAAATATTCCTCACTAATACATTGACCTGTTCGATTGCATCGACGCGCAATGCTAGTACAGATCCATTGAGAAAAAATCTGTCCATCTTGACCATCCATTGTATCCCAAATAGTATTACAATGTCGATGATAAGATAATTTAACACTGGAAATTCTATCTTCATAGATTCCATTCGCTTGAAAAACCCAACATGGATAATTTTCATCAACATCACATTTCATAGATGACCAATGAAAGTTTTTAGAAATTTTGTCACTTCCATCGGCACAATTATTTATCCCATTACCTAGTTGTTGATAACTGATATATTGATTAGGTGATGAAACTGTTTCACATCGATATCGATATGGTTCA